CACCGACACCCACACCCCACACCCACACCCACACCCACCCACACTGACACCCTAGAATGTAGTTCTCATTTTCGGAAGACAGTACCACTAACTCCTTCAATAGGGAAAATCAAATCAAATCAAATCTCAAACCGGTTTTCCAATTTTTGCGACTTTCACAGTTAAGAAACTTCTATTTAAACTCAAAAAATCTTTGTTTTTCCAAACGAGCATAAAAAATCGAAACGAGTAATATGTCTTTCCTATTTTGACGCTTTCTGCAAAGCATTGCAAACTGTTTTGTCTGATAAACCTTTCGTTTTAGGAGCCATTTAAAGAACTAAAACATGAAAGCCAGTTTTTATTTTTATGAGAGTTTACAAGACAGGATAATCTTCGTCAAGACCGATGTTACAGAAAAGTTAGAATTTTTGTCATACATGAGTCATACGGCACATTCAAGATTATAATTTATTAGAAGAAATATCAAAATATTTAGCATTAGTGAAAGATTCAGTTAAAACATAGAAAATTATGAGATATAAAAGTATTTTACGATATGATAAGTTAGAGTTATTTGCTAGTTGAACATGATTCTGTCTTAAACAAATATTTTAGGATGCGATTATTAACTGCATCTGTTAGAAAGATGTTCCAATTGTTATCGAATTTGAAACTAGATCCGAACCTAAATCGATCTGAATTGTTTCCCACATGTCCAGCTAAAACAACTTCAGCACGTTGAAGACCTTGAAACCATCTGAATATTCCTTTATCTTGAGATATATAAATCACATCGTTAAAATCAACGTATATCGAACTTGGAAAATCAAGAATAGAATTCATATTCTTATTTAGAACTGTAATTCCGATAAGCGAATTCTTGAGAAACTTTTGTATTCTGAAATTGTAAACATCACAAACATAAAGTGTATTGTTATTAAGTTCATCAACAAATAAAGATTGTACACCAAACAGTTGACTTGCATTCATTCCTTGTCCATATCCGCCTGCAACTATTATTCCTTCTTTTGCATTTGAATTCCATTTCATCACTCTAAAATTGCCTCCATCTGATACATAAACAGCTCCTTTTTGATCAACATAGATGCCTGATGCCCATTTCAGTTGATTCAAAGCAGAGCCCGAGGTGCCATTTCCAGCTACAGTTTTTAATGAACCATCTGTTTTTAACATTTTAACCGTAGTATCATTTGTAAAATAAATGATATCCGAGTGATCAACAAAAATAGATGGTTTTAAAACATTAGAAACTAAATTTTTCATTGTACCATTTTTGAAATGTTTTTGAATGCGATTTATTTGCCAGTCTGCAAGAATTAAGTTTTGTTGACTATCAATTGCAATATCCCATGGGAAAGTTCGTTGATATCCGTCAGTCAAAGTTTTGCTAATTATTGTTGCATTGGAATACCAACTTGCACGAAGACACAGTGAAGGAGAAGGTGCCGAAAAAGAGAATTTGAGACAAACTGATATTAACAGGTACAATAATAGTAGAAATCTTGATATGATCATTAACAACACTGCTTGTTTTAAGAATAAAAAAACTAGGAACACTTGACAGTTCAAGGTCTATAAATATGCTCTTTATTTTTTCTCTGAAAGTTATTGAAAATAACGAGTAATACTCTGGTTGCTTAAATATTCATCTAGTTAAAAAGAAAAAAAAATAAATATGCTGGATTAGTTGGAATTTATTCGACCAATTACCAATATTTCAGTTGAAGTGGTTTCTTCTTCGAATAGAATGAGAATGACACAGTTAAATAAATTCATTTTTATGAAGAAAATATAAGAAAAAATATACAAATATAAGTATTCTTCTTTCTGCATAAATCAAATATTGAAGTTTGCATAAGGAAAAAATGACGTATATTTGTTTTCAGATGAATAAGAACTATTTAGTAGGCAATTAATTCATGTGTCATGAACGAAGGTTTAATCAAGCATCGTCGAACTTTTTTCGCCGATTCCAGTGTCGACAAATATATTTATAACCAAGTACAGTTGATTTCCCTAATAACGACGGGAAATTTTTTCTTCATCTTGTTTCGTTTGGTTCTCAGCTATTCTACATCCAATTACTTAGGTCAGTCAGAAAGTAGTGGTAGTAACCCTTTAATGACTTATAGTAAGCCCAATAAGAATTTCTTTTCGTATGAAACGATAGAGAAAAAAATGCTCTATCTTTCTATGCTATTTGATCATACTTCAACTAATATCATAATAATAAACTTTCGACAAAACTTGTTTCGTTAGGATATGTGCTGGTTATACAGGGTTGCCAAAAATGTTTTTCCATAGAGGCGTCAGAAATCTTTTTTGTCTATCGAACTTTGTAGAGCTCTCTTTGTCGATCATATTGCTAAAAGAATCTTTTAAATCTGATCAATAAATAACGGCGCCAGGGTCAAAATACTGAAAATTTCAATATCCTCTGGTTGATATAGCTAAATAGTTTTGAGTATTTTGACCTTAGTACCGTTATTTATTGATCAAATTTAAAAGATTTAGCAAAATGATCGGCAAAAAGAGCTCTACAGAACCCGATAAACAGGCAAATTTCTGAGAACTTTATGTTTTTGTGATTGACTACCCACCCATGTGAGTGTTTAACCAAATGAAGCTTGATGTAATTCTATAACCCATTCTCATCTTATGGATGACGAGTTATACTCATTGTTAGCTCTAATATGTATAGAACGAAAGAGACAAGCAGTGTCACTGATGTTATGTGACAGAACGATGAAAAAGATGACCTTCATGGGAATCGAACCCATACCTTCTGCTATCCGGGCAGTTGTCCTAAGCCAATTAGACTAGAAGGCGCATCTTAATCATCGTTTAGCGTCCAAGTAATTCATCATGGACGCTAACACTCCTAAATCCCGTTTTCGACGGGCTTTCATTTAGTATAAAATTCAGTGTTGATATTATTTGTCGTTGAAGCTGTACCCCGATGGAAAAACATTTTTGGTAACCCTGTATAACCAGCACATATCCTAACGAAACAAGTTTTATCGAAAGTTTATTATTATGATATTAGTTGAAGTATTATCAAATAGCATAGAAAGTAGAGCATTTTTTTCTCTATCGTTTCCTACGAAAAGAAATTCTTATTGAGCTTACTATAAGTCATTAAAGGGTTATTGCCACTACTTTCTGACTGACCTAAGTAAAAATATTTTTATATTTGGAGAATCCTTGGAGTCTCCCCTTTCCAATGATATATAGGTTTCTTTTTACTTGCTTGTTATCATCGAGAAATTAGCGGTCTAC